AGTCAGGGTCTCACTCTGTCGCCGAGGTTGGAGTGCAGTGGCACAATCATGGCTCACAGCATCCTCCACCTCCCGGGCTCAGGCGATCCTTCTCCCTCAGCTTCCTGAGTTAGCTGGGACTACAGATGTGTGCCACCACGCCTGGCTAAGTTTTAAAATATTTTTTGTTGAGAAGAGGTCTCGCTATGTTGCCCAGGCTGGTCTTGAACTCCTGGCCTCAAGTGATCCATCTCCCTCGGCCTCCCAAAGTGCTAGGATTACAGGCATGAGCCACCCCACCTGGCTGTGACCACTATTAGAGCATTAGCATACTACACAGGACTATCTCTGTCTGCCCCCATCAATGAGCTCTTTGGGGCTTTGGGTTTTTTCTTTTTTTTGAGTAAGGGTCTCACTCTGTCACCCAGGCTAGAGTGCAGTGGCATGATCACAGCTCACCACATTCTCGGTCTCCTGTGCTCAAAAGCAATCCTACCACCTCAGCATCCCAAAGTGCTGGGACTGCAGGAGTGAGCCACCACATCCGGCCTTTTTGTCGTTGTTGTTTTGTTTTCTATACAGGGTCTTGCCCTTTCACCCAGGCTGAAGTGCAGAGGCACAATCATGGCTCACTGCAGTCTCCAACTCCTTGGCTCAAGTAATCCTCCTGCCTCAGCTTCCTGAGTAGCTGAAACTAAAGGCGTGAGCCACCAGGCCATCTCTAGTGAGCTCTTTGAAGTCAGAGCCCAGGTCTGACTCATCCCTCGTGAATGCCTCATGAGTGCCTCATAAGTGCCTCCCTGGTGCCCATGATGGAACCTGACCTTATTAGGTACCCACAGATGCTTGCAAGCAGATGAATGAGCATATGGAAATGAGCAAAGCCTCGGCAAGGCCGACACCCACTGTTTTCTCTTTGTCCTCCATAGCTCTCACAAAGTTGCAGGCCTCCCTCGTGCAAGACCGCACCGTCTCCGTCCGGCCTTCCAGGAACAAGCGAGTCATGGCCGACTCGTAAGTTAGGCAGAACTGGCCCCTGTCCTGGGGGACAAGGAGGGGAGAAGGCTGTCAGCTGGGTTCAGGAAATTGTTACAGACTAGACCCACCTCTGTCCAGGCCTCCGGCCTCCTCCCGCCCAAGAATGTGTGATTGGGAGAGAGAACTCAAGATGGCGGACCCACAATGGGAAGGACCATAAGGAACCATGGAGTGGGGCAGGTCTTGGGGGCTCTGGGGGGCTGAAGTCCTGAGGAACCCAACTGACCCGAAAATGGGCCAGCTGCAAGGCTATCTGGATGAAGCTGTCTGAAGAGAGGTGGCAGCGTCTGATGAAGCTCTTGCCAAAGCGGGAGAAGGGAAAGACGTGGCAGTCGACATTTTCGGACAAGAGCTTGGCTCCCCTCAGGGCTAGAGAGATGGACGGGTGGATCTGCCAGAGGACGGAGGGAGGAATGGTCAGGGTTTCAGATAGGGGTAGGGTTAGCACCAGGAATGGGGACTGGAGTTAGGGTTGGGGTGGAAGGGAACGGAACTGAAGGATAAGGTTCAAGGTGGAGGCTGGCACAGTGGCTCACACCTGAGTCCAGGAGTTAAAGAACAGCCTGGGCAACATAGCAAGACCCCCATCTCTATACAATAAGCATTTTTTTTTTGAGTCGGAGTCTCACTCCGTTGCTCAGGCTGGAGTGCAGTGGCACACTCATGGCCACCCCAGCCTTGACCTGCTGGGCTCTGGTGATCCTTCCACCTCAGCCTTCCAAGTAGCTGGAACTACAGGCGCATGCTACCACGCCCGACTAATTTCTTATGTATTGTAGAGACGAGGTCTTGCTAAGTTGCCTGGCCTGGGCTGGTCTTGAACCAGCTGGCTCAGACAATCCACTCACCTTGGTCTCCCAAAGTGCTGGGATTACAGGCTGAGCCACCAAGCCAGGCTACAATAAACTTTTTTTTTTTTTTGAGTCAGAGTCTCACTCTGTTGCCCAGGCTGGAGTGCAGTGGTACTTTCCTGGCCACCGCAGCCTCGACCTGCTGGGCTCAGGAGATCCTTCAACTTCAGCCTTCCAAGTAGATGGGACTACAGGCATGCCACCACGTCCAGCTAATTATGTATGTATTTGTCTGTTTGTTTTTTGAGTCAGAGTCTCCCTCTGTTGCCCAGGCTGGCATGCAGTGGCACGCTCACTGCCGCCGCAGCTTCGACCTGCTGGACTCCGGCGATCCTTCCACCTCAGCCTTCCAAGTAGCTGGAATGACAGGTGCACGCCACTATGCCCAGCTAATTTTTTGATTTATTGTAGAGAAGAGATCTTGCCAAGTTGCTTAGGCTGGTCTCAAACCATGGGCTCAGGCAGTCCTCTCACCTCCACCTCCAAAAGTGCTGGGATTCCAGGAGTGAACCACCGCGCCTGGCCTTTTTAAAAAATTTATTGTAGAGACAAGATCTCACCAAGTTGCCCAAGGTGATCCTGAACTCCCAAAGTGCTGGGATTATAGGTGTGCGCCATCACTCCCAGCTAATAACTTTTTTTGACAAACATAAAAAAGATGGAGATAGGGATGGCAATGCAGATGGGGCTGGGATTGGGACTGGGTACGGCTGCAGTTGTTGGGGATGGAGGGGGGACCGAACTCAAATGGGGGATGGGGTTGGGTTGGGTATGAGTATGGGAGGCTTGAATGGAGACCTGGGGAGGTGTTGGAATGGGACTGGGGATGGAGGTGAGTCCAGGATGGGGATGGAGTGGCGGCTGGTGCTGGGACTAGGCCTGCCATGAGTTTAGGTTTGAGGCTGCGGGTGGAGACAGACGGGGGCTGAGGATGGGCGGTGGGCTCAAGGCTCGAGTTGGGGTTGGCGTGGGGGGATGGGGAGGGGTGTGAGGTTGTGCATGCCTTTGGCTCGATTTGGGTGTGGGTATGGGCTTGGGGCTGGGGATCAGTGTAGAGGCCAGGCTAGGAGTTGGGGGACTTGGAGGACAGGTCTGGAACCCTGGCCTCACCTGGTCTGGAAGGTCCCATTGCAGCCGCTGGGGCTGGGGCAGCGTGGGGTCAGCACACCCCTTGCAGTGGCCATCCGCTGCGTAGCCCAGCTGGAAGCATTCTGTGGCCAGAGTGAACTGTGGACAGACAGAGGCCATGAGGGTCCCTTCCTCCCTCTGGACCGAGGGTCTCACCAGGGACCTGTTTTCATGCGTCCGTTTTTGGGGTGGGGGCCGTCCCTGAGAAACAGAAACCTCTGATGTTCACAGACAGAACCTCAGGTTCCCGACCACAGAGAACAGGACTAATACTAATACTTGATGGTGTTCACTGACCCTGGACTGACTTGTGGACACAGAGTCACCAGCGGCCACCCGCCCTTCCCAAGGATTCCCCACCATGCTTCTGGGACTGGAGAAAGAACGGCTTGCAGCCAGATGCGGTGGCACACGCCTGTAATTCCAGCACTTTGGGAGACTGTGGCAGGAGGATCGCTTGACCCCAGGGGTTTGAGACCAGCCTGGGCAACTTGGTGAGACCTCGTCTCTAGCATAAATAAAAAAATCAGCCAGGCGTGGTGGCACACACCTGTAATTCCAGTTATGTGGAAGGCTGAGGCGGAGGGATTGCCTGAGTTCAGCAGGTTGAGGCTGTGGTGGCTGTGAGCGTGCCACTGCACTTCAGCCTGGGTGACAAAGACTCTGACTCAAAAGAAACAAACAAAAAACAGCTTGGGTCTCCTGGGGCCCAATGTTCATTCTTTTTTTTTTTTTTTTTTGAGT